TGGTATGCATTGCAGTCCGCAGTCTGAAGATATCATGTGGATAATTTTTTCTATTATATTGCATTCTTCTTCGAAATCGTCTATCTACATACTATTCGTAAGTACGGTCATTCTGCTGCTGCAGTATAGTAGGACGGCACAAGCGACACAGGGCGAGTGGCGTGGGAATATTGACGATAAGCATGAACAAACAGTAGAAGACACCTCGTTCATGATCAACACATCTTCAACCACATCAACAACGCACCAACATCGCTGAAGTTTTTCTCGTCCAAAAATCACCCGAATCTAATAATTTTGGGAAGGATATATCCAATCAACTCGACCCATTGGAAGCTATTTCTCTCGCGCTACTTCGAGCTGCAATCCTGATTCCTCAACTAACCTATCGCCGCGACGCACTATACATCCAACCGGCCACAAAAGAACGCCTGCTATCGTCTTGAGCTTTTTCATTTAGAAGAAGAGTACGCGATAATAGCACGACTTGCTGTGAGTTATCCCCATCACGTTGATGCCAGCCACATTCCTGACTGGATGTCATTCCAAGTTTTCGTCGACCACTAGCAGCCGAATCCACAGAATTCTAACGATATAAAACCATGTCCGATGTTCAAAGGCTGCCTCTTACCCTCCAGCACCAAGTGATCGAGTGCTACTTGGAGGACGCCACTCCTGCCGACAGGCATGACCCATACCCATATGACGAGTGCACCCGCCTCATGTTGGTATGCCATGATTGGGAATCCTTCATCGTTGAGTTAACGATATTCTGGAAAAATATCACTATCACGGACTCCGGGGCCATGGGACGTGCCATCATGTGGAGTGGGGATGAACCGCTCGACATTCGTGGGCGCCTAATTGATGTAGAGGAGGAGGAGGACCTATCGCGGCTCGACCTTCTTCTCCAGTACAGAGGACGAATTCGGAGCCTGGACTTGATTACCTCAAGAATGGTACTGGCACAGTGGGATGCGGACCGTTACACTGAGGTCTCTGTACTGGAGGATCTAGTCTTGGAGATGATACACGGCACACATGATGACCCTGAAACCCGTGAAGAGGATCTTCTCGCCATCTTTAAAACTTCCACGTTGAGGACGGTGGAACTGAAGGGCTTTACCGACCGGGAGGCCAGCACCTTGATGACGAAGAGAGTTGAAGCGTTGAGACTTCAGGGGATGACGTTCACTGTGACAGACAGAGAAGACATGAGGAGACCATGGAAGACGCAGAAAGACGAGTCGATCATACTACATGCTCTGGATTCCATGGAAAGTATACGCCGTTTGGATGTGGACTCGGGGCTATTCGGGGAGACTGCACGCTACCCACAGGATGTCAGTCTCCCCACCCTGCATTCTCTATCCTTCATCATCAAGACGAAGGAGCACGCAAAAGGCCTGGGTCTCTTACATGCACCAAATCTGCAGAACGCTTGCGTTGAGTTCTTGGCGCTACCCAATGACCTGAACTCGGAGCTGCCTTCGATTAGCCGTATGTTGGACACGATACCCTGGAACACAGAAATGTCTGTGGCTCGATTTGTCTTAGAGGAGACGGATGGTCTATGCATCACCTTCGCAGAGGGCTCGCTGGAGGTGCTGAAAATGCACTTCCATCACGTTGGAGAACTCGGGACAATCTTGCGTCTTCTAAGGTATAACCTCTCGCGGTGTCTGGGGAAAGTTAAGAATCTACATATTCTCATGCACGATGGACAAAAAGCGGTGAAGAAGCTCGAGACGGAGGCACTGGTCTTATTACTATCGGGTGCACCAGAGTTACACCACCTAGCAGTTCAGGTCCCTATGACAGCAATCGGCGAAACGATAGAGAAGTTTGAGATTTTCCGCACTCAGCAGCCGCTCCACGGCTTACTTATTGGAGTAGGGTATCACCAATTTTGCTCCGCTAATGCTGTGTCCTGATCAAAACAAGAGTGGTGAGTCGTGGTGCACTGTGGACCCGAGTGGGGTATAATTACCTTTCCGGGCTCGGCTGCCTGCGCGAAAGATTCTGAAAGTTCTCTATCGTTTCGCCGATTGCTGGAAGCCGGACGATGTGCTCAAGCCGTCCCGAGTGGAGCTCGACAGACTTGCGTCTATTGCAGTTGGAATCACCCAGGCCGAGGACGCCCGCTTTCTCACCTACTTGGAGGCGCCGGTGTTACAGCATGCAAGCTTCAAGGTCAGCGCGGCGGACGAAGATATATCCTCCATATTGGAATCCGTTGCACCCCATCTTCACAAGATCACCGAGAACAGGCCATTACCGTTCTCCGAGTTCCAATTATTGGGGCGGACGCGACACAATGTGCACATTACTCTGGGCGACGGAGAGGGACACCTTCCGGGGATCGATCTACAATTCAAGGAGATTAGAGCCCAGGCAGCCTTGCTGCACTCTTTGGCAGCACACGTTGCTCCCTGCTTTCGGCTAGTGGATAACGTCTCCATCCGAAAGGGAGATGGATACGCTGACGGCACCGGGGCAGCATGGTGTCAAATCTTCAGGCCGATGCTCAAGGTTCGCATGTTACGCGTGGAAGGGCAAGGCGCTAAGGCAATGCCGTCGGGGATCGCGTACAGAGACAACAACAGGGACACCCACCGCCCGCTTTTCCCTGCCTACAGTCGCTAACCCTACAGTCGGTCTGGTTTCGACGGCCGAAAAGGAAGGGAAGCTCCAGACCCGGGCCAACGTTCATTGGCGATCTTTTAAGATCGTTAGAGTGTCGCGACAAGGCACAACAACTCAACAAACTTACTATTGGTGAGGCACGCAAGATTAACAAAGGCGACATCGTGAACTTGAAGGCCTTGGTAAAGGATGTCACTTGGGATAAGTGATAAGACTGAACAGCCGGTCCAATCACCCAGCGTTTACGGGGAGGATTGGAGGAACCGGTTACAACTTAGGAACAGAGAGGGGGGGGATTATGAAGTTGGATGTGGGAGAAGATTTTCGCCATTTATGACGAATACTGAGTCGCATATTAGTATAAAAGTGGGGATGTATCGAGTAGAAATCGTACTAAGTTGAATATTCTTCTGCCAAAAAGTGAGGGTCGTCCAAAGCGTGAGCTTCATGAGTAAATTGGTATGTTTGCGAGACTCCAGACCTTTCGGATTGCAGTGACTTCAGTGAACCATGCTCTGGACCATTGACAACATACGGACGGGTCCACACAAGCATGGTTTGAAACCATGAGGATAAAACGGCCCAATCTCGTTCCTTCCTCGCAACACCAAATCTGCACAATGCAGAACACTCCTTGATTCAATTTGGAATAGATACGGGATATGAATCATCACATTTGTCTTACAACCGTATCGAGTTTGCCATCCTGAGAGAATTCAACATACCGTCCAAGCAAGCCACATCAAGTCGAGAGGAACAGCCCCCCTAGCGCCGCAAGCGTCCCAATAGATACCTTCGTCGTATGTCTCGACACGCCATAATCAAGGTCGGTACAGCAAGAGCTAAAGGCTCGCATATGTCGTACGCGAGAGGGCTATCTTTCACGACTTGTTGGCCTTTTGGCACTGGAAGTCGTAGGCGCAGACATGACGAACCGTAGTGTAAGGATTTGCATAGGTTCTGCACCCAGTTGTATTTCGTCGCTATGTCTCCGAATAAATATTAACCTTCCTTGAGAGAATGCTTCCGATAGAGGCAGCTAGCTTGGATAACAGTCAAGATAGCAGATACCGCACGACGAAGGCCAAGACAAAGCAGACAAGCCGGACATTTAGAGACCGCCTGACAGACGGATGGCATGAGAGGCTCTTCTTGAATGTCTGCGGACGACTTGAGAGGCCCATGTAGCGAGCATAAGGGGAGACGGTTATCACGATGGAAGAGATGGAGGAGACAATGGGAGAGCGTCACCTCCGCTTCTTCCACCGCGGAACGGCATCACCCGGGCGTGTGTAGGTGTGGCAACGAGAGCTTTGGTTGTATTTGGTCTGCAAAATCCTGAAGCCACCGACGCTTGTACGTGCGGCGTATAAACTCACTGGATGAAGCATGGATATGGACTGAACTCGCCCGTAATTCAGAACCACCCAAAGTGTCAGCTCCGGATGCCGTACGGCTCTGCCTGTGAAGCAGTGTAGAGCGGCTGGCTAGACGTGGGTGTTACCACGAGGGCTTTGTTAATAAGGAGGCTCACGTCAGGTGGTACATACCTTGAGATAACACTCCGTAGTCAGTGAACGATTATTGGACTCTCGTTGGAGGTCTGTCGATTCTCTTTCCCGAGATTGATGATTAAACACGTGAACTAAGATTTCATCGTACATTTTCTGCAGGAAAATCGTGAATTGTAGCAATAATTATCTGATAGATTGGAATTTGGAGAGGCCAACATCGCTTTCGAAAACGAGACGATGCCCCATGCTGCCGACAGTTAGAGGCATGGCGCTCAGATTGGTGCTGGCACGCAGGATATCTCACGAGAGATGAAGGCAGTTGCTGCCGCAGGAGTAACCGCTGGTGTTGAAGAAGCGTGAACGCTCTCTGATGAGATGCGACATGAGCCATGAACGTGCATGAACTTTGCATGAATCCCAACACGAGAGCAGCAGATGGCCACATCTCAATTTGGCTGTGTTTGGCGAGGCAGGTTCTTAAGCCGCCACAACGCGTTGAACGTAACCACCCCACGCCATCTCTCTGGCATAGATCTTTGTTTCACTCTGACCATCGCACAACAGCAGAGATAGCTTTACCGGTCAGGCCATACCACCATAGCCAAGAACTGTAAGCCATCCATCCGGCCGAGAATTCTTCCTGAGCCACACTCCGGATTCTCTGCGACCAAAGACCGTAAACGACAATATCACCCGACTTTCACCGTATCATCATCTCTGAAAAGAAATAGCCAAGACGCCAATCTCGAGTCTTACCACTGGAGCCCACAGCTGTTAGTGATCCCTTCCACCTGTGCGAGCCACATTCCTGAGAACGACCGATTGAAGCTTACAGCTAACTACCAACCAACCAACCAACCATCGGCTTCCTCCTCACACAATACAGTCTTCAGTATGCCTATTCCTAGTGTATTCGACCGACTTCCCGATGAACTCGTCACCGAGATTCTTCTCCAATACCTGTCCAGCCACACGCCAATCCCTCTCGGCCGTGATCAGCGATCCATGCACCTCCGAGCTGCAATAATGCTGGTCTGTACGCGCTTCAGGGACGTCGTCTACGGCGACGGTGCATTTTGGCAAGGCGTTACGATCACCAGCCCAGGCGTCATGAAAGCAGCAATGACGCGTAGTGGGACACGTCCCCTCTCCGTCGATGGATGCTTGGATCGGCAAGACACTAGGGAGGAGCAAGCCCAGCTGCTGCTCATCGCGGACGAGGCTGAGCGTATCCGCTCGCTCAACTTGGTCACCTCTCGAGAGCTGCTGAGCCTGTGGAAAGTGGAGTTGCCGAAACTCGAGGTGCTGGCACTAGAGGACACCTCAGGACCTGACGCTGATGACAACGAAGAGTTCGATTTGCTGAAGTACTTTCGAAGCCCGTACCTCAAGATACTGTGCCTTGACGGCCTTGCTTACAAGGACATCAAGCCCATGTTCGCTGAGACAATTCAAGAGCTCGAGATATCAGAACCGCGGGGAGATATTACCGCCTGGCGGCTCTTGACGGACCTTCGAGCGATGCCCAACCTGCGGAAGCTAACCGTCGCATTCGACATGGCGGAAGGCGCTGGCACACATACCGTGGTGGAATACCCACACCTCGAGTCTTTGACTCTGAAGATGAGCGGATTTGAGGAAGCCGAGTTCCTCAGATACCTTGATGCACCACGTCTGCTGGAAATACGACTCAACATCTTCGCAGAATACGCAATGACGTTCGTCGGCATGATGATAGCCCGCAGGTTACTAGACCGTGTCGCAGCAAACCAGCAACTTGATACAGCGATGTTCCATTCACCCGGTGCTAGACAGTTATATATGTCGCTGATGGCAGAAGGGGCCCCGAGGCGAGGGATACATCTCGCATTCAAGAAAGTCGAGCACCTGAAGAGTCTTATCAGCTGTCTCCATTCATTCTTTCTAGGACAATACCTCGGTGCGGTTTGCAACCTCATTTTACCCAATGGGAAGAGATACATCGACGGTGCTGCGACCAGGCGGTACGAACTCTTCGAGGCCATGTGTAACGTGCGCCGTCTTCGGATCGAAGGTTGGGGCAGCAACGCGATCAACTCAGGCCTGGATTACCGGAGAGAGAAAGAAAAGGAATATCGAGCAGTGTTCCCCCACTTGAAGACGCTTGAGCTGGACTCCGTCCGGTTCTGGCAGACCAACGCAAAGAAAGGATTCATCAAAAATCTGATCAAGTCGTTTAAGCATCGCAAGGCGCAACCGCTCAAACTCATTACCGTAACCAACGCCGTCAGGTCCAAGGAGGGCGACTTGTCGAAGTTGCAAAATTTCGCTGAGAAGATCAACTGGGACGGCGTTGAGAGCAGCGCGGGAGGCAACAGCAGTAGCGCCGCAGTCTGAGAACCATACAGGGAGGACGAGACGGGAGAGAAAATACAAGGGGCGCTGATGGAGAGACAAGAACAGACTAAGTGCCATCGGACAGGGAAGATCAGATTATGTATGACAATTTGTGCAATGACATACAGTACGTTGTCCGGGAATTCCTTCCAGACCATTTATAACAAATGAGCGACGCTGCGTGAGTGCCTTAGGCCCAGAAAGTAGCCCAGATACGGGCAGTCGACCAGCAATACTTCCGGACCGATAAACAAACCACATCGGTCCAGTCGTGGAAAATATGATAAGGCGACCATCGAAAAATTGTGCTTCCCTTCGACAATGTTTGAGCTGGACTGAGCAGGGTAAAGGCAGTACGACCGACACAGAGACGTCAACAGTACGGCCAAGAAATTCGGTCCCCACGTTCTCTCCCAGCTGAAGGGATCCGGTGGGTAAACGTTTAGAAGAATACCCATAGGATCTGGAAGCGGGGTGGTAGTGCTTCATTATATTTGCAGAGACTTATCCAGCAACGAGCGGGGCTGAGCAGCGTGAATGGCAGAACAATGAAAGTGGTGCGACGGCACCCATCGACGCAAATGCGAAGACGTGCGCTCGCTACGTTACAACGGCAGTTGAATACGGAACGCGGCCCTCGGGTACCCCACTTACAATATATTTTCGTCTGCTACCCTGAACCTCAGCATACCACTTGTAGTAATGATCGGCCACTGACCTTCCCGGACGCCAGATTGCAAGTCACCAGATATCTCATGTTGAAGAGAGATATCTCCTAGGCACCGAGAGTGCGGCAATCTCAAGAGTCGAGCTGGTTGCGACCTCGTACCATGCGATTACGGCAGAAGACAAAGAAACCCACAATACATGTTATTCACCTTGAGTCAAGTTAATAGGGCCTCGCACTATGCCAATTGCTGGACGCCGCTCACGTTCAAGTCCGCGAGCCATGCATAACTAGGACGGAGGGCGGTGGACCATGCAGTCGGACGATGGCTTCGACTGGATAACTCAAGCTCGAGGGTTTCCCGATGCTCTTGATGCGGGCGTTGACGGGACTATACCGCGGGTATCAATCTCCGAGTCCCAGCCTTCTATGTCTCCGGGAGGTACATAATGATTTGATGCGTCCTCGAGAATAAGTAGAATAGTGCCTGGCTTTCCGACCTGTCAAGGCTAGAGAGGCCAGCATGGATTGTGGGCGTTTCTGCTTTACATTTAGACGGAGGCAACGGTTGACCAGAGCAACAGCTTGAGCATTGCGAGCAGCACGAGCCCTCGCGACACTCCAAAACGTACTATCCCAAGGGGACCCAGTCTTTTGCAATGGACCAGCGTGCAAACACGATGTCGACTGGGACGGCCAGATCAGCTGAGACTGGCACCACATCGCGGAGGACGAGACCGATCGCTGCCCAGAGACAACATAGGCCAGAGAGAGAGGGAAAGATGGTTTTGATGAGAACGATTATGAGAGCTGGGATAAAGAGAACGGCATGTACAGAGGACCTGGAAGACAAAAAGGCTGATAACGGGACGGTAAAGCAGAACCGCGATCGAAGTTTGCATATCCGGCTTGTACCACTCGAGATGCCTGGGACCTCTGGGAAGGAACGTCGACACAGAGCACTTGGGAGGACGCTAGCTTTGGCGAATGTGGTGCCCCTGGCTGCCTCGGGTAACGGACTCGTCCTGTCCCTTCTCAGCCACGCTTGATTTGATGACCTCGACATCCATCCGCATGCTTATAAAATCAAAAGATGTACACCTCTTGAGAATCAGTCCTGACAGTCCAGATGACCTTCCGGGTCCAAACAGAGAGCGATGCTGCAGCCTCAACGACGCAGCCAATTCAGAGCCCAGTAGTCCAATAATGAGCATATCAACCACGGAATTCTTCACGACGTCTATGCCAACGTGAATGTGAAAGCACCGTGAGTTGAACGGAGACGATGCGATAGGAAGACAAGGGAACCGCTCCTTGAGTCGTTCAAGGCACGGCATATCCCGAGAGGCTTTGTGGCTGCTATGTCCGAAGGAAACAGCCACAAACATAGGCCTGTAGCCAGCTCTGCATTTCAGCATTTCACCGCCACATGTGTCTTGAAGTGATGCAACTGAATGCCAATACCTCTTCCCCAACACTTGCGGATTGGCCTCAGACTCGTAAACTCCTCACACGTCCCGCAGAGCAAATTATTACAATAATTGCATAGAGAGCTCTGCGCGGGCGTGTGTTATGCCCGGCTAATAGTGGCATATCTACAGGTACACGTAATAAATAATATCATGCAGTCCCCACCCAGCTATAACACCCAAAATCTAATCCGAAGCGTCAAGACTCGCCGCCGTCGACCGAATCAGCGCCGCACGCTCCGGCGAGCGCACGACGAAGTTGCATTTGAATGTCTGGCCAGTCCCGAGGCTGACGTTGGCGGGCAGCGGCGACTTCTCGTCCGGCACGAGCGTGAACGAGGAGACGATGTTCGCGGCCATGATGAGCACGGAGCGATACGCGAGGTGGCGGCCGGGGCACATGCGGCGGTTGAAGCCGAAGGCGTAGAGCCGAGCGTCGCGCGCCTGGGGGAAGCGGCCGTCCCAGCGCTCGGGCCAGAACTTCATGGGGTCGGGATACATGTTCTCGTCGTGTAGGATAGCCCTATGTACAGGAGAGGCATGTCAATTTCAAGAGCGGCCCGAGCAGAATGACTGCGCTACGCACCATTGGTTCGCGACCATGATCGATCCTTTGGGAATGAACATGCCCTCGTAAACATCGTCCTGCGAGGCGGCATGCGACAGACCAAGGGGTGCCACGGGGTTCCATCGGAGGGTCTCAAGGACACAGTAGCGGAGGTACGGCAGGTGGTCCTCGTCAGCGAACGTCGGGAGACGGTTGGTGCCGACGACGGAGTCGAGCTCGGCCTGCAGCTTCTTTTGGCATTCGGGGTAGAGGAGCATGGCGAGTATGAAGCTGGCCATTGTGCCGAGGGTGGTGTCCACTGCTGCACCATACATGACACCGGCAGAAGCTACGGTTGCGTACGTCAGGAAAGTACGATAAATAGGGAGTATAGAGACTAACCCTTGATGACATACTCCTCGTCATCGGAGCCCGTTATCTGGCCCTTCATCTCCAAGAGTCTGCTGGCGTAACAAGGCTTGATGGCACCCTTGGCCTGAGGAAGTACATCAGCAAGGAGCGTCGCTGTTAGTGATAGTCTTGACATACCATGCGCTCCTTAAGCTCTACCCAAGGTGTATCCCGGATTCGCATGTGCCCATCCAGCACTTCCTTGACGAAGGGCCTGTATGCAGTTCCAGGGAACCAGTCGGGCATGTATTGCACTGAATACCGGCAATGAATCAGATTGTGCACTACACGAGAACGAGAAGAAAGGGAGCTGACACCAAGGAACGAAGTTCACCACGAACGCAGTGGGGGTGACCGCGCGCAAGTTGTTCGGAATCGCAGCCTCGTTAATCTCGACGAGGTGGTCATCGAGCGCGCGAACTTTGTGGTCGTACGTGACACGCAGGATGACGGAGCCCGCTGAGCGGCGCATGTGCAGGAACCACTTCTCGGGCGAGTCGAGGAGGTGCTCGAGCGTCTCGTATGTCTCTTCCTCCTGGATTATGCCGTAGTCCTTGACGGCGGACGGGTTGAAGGCCGCGTTCACGACCTTGCGGTACGTGCGGAACTCCTCGTCGTAATCCATGCCGGGGAAGTGATGGTTTGTTGATCTGTAAGTTTCGCGCCGGTCAATGGCGTTTGGGGTGAGAATGAAGTGAAGAAACTAACAGTCTCCGGATGACACCGGGGTTGCGGTCAGAATAGATGTTGCCGCGTTTCTCGAGGAGTTCGTTAGTAGCATGAGCGGAGTTGAGGACCACAACGCGGTTCCCGAAGGATTCAATGGAGAAGACATCGCCTGTGCAGGAGTGAGTCTACGCTGACGCCAGGGCACATAACATAGCACCCTACCATATTTCTTTGACCACTCCTTGTAGGTAATGTGTAGGGGCTGCTTCTTGCCATCTGGAAGCTGGCGAAGGTTCCCAATTATCGGATCACCCTTGGGTCCTGCCCTCACACTTGAACAAAGCTTTCATTGCGACAGCGACTGGTTCACATACCTGGAGGGTAGGGAAGACCGCCGGATCGTCTCCGGTGGTTCGCCCAGCGATACACCAGGAGACCCGATACCAAAGCTAAGAAAAGGAGTGCCGACATTGGGGAGGCCATCGCGAGGACGGTGAGGAGAAAGATACGGGGGACTGGTCTATGTGCGCCGACGAAACACGGCCTGGTAACAGTACAAAATGCGTTTTCGCTGTAATATAGCAAGTGCAAGCAAAGCCTAGATCTCCAATCACGCAGCCTATTTACCAAATCCGCCCGCGACGGTGGTTGTTCCATCGCCCGCCAGGCAGGGATCCTGTACTCGGACCGATGCTGCCTCGCGGGAGGGGCATCACTGTGACAGACATATTGCCACAGAGCGGTTTGATGGCCAGCGTCGACGGCGTGCGGCCTGTGCAATTACAATGCAGTGCTTTCGGACGGTTCAGTGACAATGATAGACGCGTTGATGATCGGGTCCGATAGTTGCGGCCGTGCGATGTGAAAGACATACCGTGAGAACATCAGTCGGGCACTTCGTAGCGCAGCGGTCGACTGCCACACTCCCACGACTACGCAATTGCAAGCAGCCTGTTGCGGCCAACGGCGATGATATAGGTTTCACTGTTCAAATGCTGATCTACTACTGCGGCGTTGTTGCCAATAAACGAGAGCTTATCAGCGATGGCACAAAACATGCCTCAACAAGAGAATTCCTCGGTTCCGACCTTCCTGGCCCTTCCAGGCACATTAGGGATCTTCTGTATGTCTATCTCATCCCACACCAAATATGATTTACAAATTACACGTGTTACTTTCTGTACTGAGAGAACATTCTTGCGGCACCGACCGCTCCTGGCATGGTGGAAGAAGGAATGCAGCTTGTCTCCTGCAGGTCCCGGGTAATATACTAGCTCTCAGATGCGGACCGTTTAGGATTCCCAAAGAAAGAGAAATTCAGGCCAGACACTATTGCACAATAGAAAGAAATTATATGCAGCAAATGCGAGTGTACTACAAGTCGTGAGCGAGATAAATAAAATATCGTGACAAGAGACACCCATCATAACCAACTCCGTAAGCCCTGCATTCACGAGTCCTCATGCCCAGCAGACAGCACGCCTTTCGCCCATGCAGCCTGTTGAATCAACGCACGAGAGTTCTCCCTCCGTGGCGTAATCGTGCACTTAAACGGCTTCGGATGCCTGCAATCCGTCGTCAGGAGCCGGAAACGAGGCAAGTGGCATAGGCAATGATCCCTTACCGGACGCTGTGCTCCGCAAAAGTGCTGTCAATAGGAATCTCCCTCCCGTTTTCGTCGATCGCGGGTGTGATCTTAAACGCGTAGAAGAGGGAAGCAGTCGAGATCCAGATGTTGTTCTCGGCGATATCCTTCCCAGGACATACCCTACCCGCTCGCAAGTTATTGTACTGGCCAGAACAAGGGAGAGTGAAATCGTAACTATACCTTCTACCGAAACCAAATGCTGGACCGCGGGGGTCCGGCTGGGGCGTGCGGCCTTCGCCTGTGAGGAACCGGTCGGGGTTAAACTCCTCAGGATTCGGGTAGACTTCGGGGTCGTAAAGCATGGCGTATGCATTCGCGATGACCATCGTATCCTTCGGGAGGTGGTACCCGTTGTACACATCATCCTGGCAAAGCCTGTGTGGAACACCTATCGAACCAGACGTCACTTCTCGCTCACTACATTTCACATAGAAGATGGATCACATACCAACTGGCGTGGTAGATCCCCACCTCATCGACTCAAGGATGATGCACTGCAGATACGGAAGATGTTCGCGATCCTCGAACGTCGGGAGCCGATCCTTCCCCACGACAAGGTCCATCTCCGCCTGCGCGCGCGCCTGGATGACCGGGTTGAGCAACATCGCGATTAGCACGGTCATCAGCGCCGAGTACGTCGTGTCGAAGCCGGCTGAGAACGTGATCGCGGCCGTATCGCGCACGCCCTCGTTGTCCTTGCCCTTGGTCTCCTCGAGCATCTGCATTGTGTAGCATGGAACAGCCGTGCCGTCCGCCATCCTTTTGAGCACCTCTTCGAAGGGACGGTTAACGAAGGCGTGCATGTCCTCGCGCGTGCCTGGCGGGAGGCGCTTGAAGCCGGCGCCGGGCATCCAGTCGGGGATGTGACGTACTAGATCTATCGGTCAGTGATGCTTTTGGGGAAGGGAGGAGACGCTTACACCACGGGAAGAAGTCGACAATGTGGGCGCCAACTGCACCAGCTGCGTCGATAGTTGCTACACCCTTCTCAGCAATACGGATGAACTCGTCGTCCTTGGACTTGACTTCGTGGCCGTAAGACATCATCATCGTGATACCGCCCGCCAATCTGCATATCCGATCAGATCAGGAACAACCACCACACTGAGGTCAAAGCGTACCGTTTGAAGTGGATCTGGTAGTTCTCTGGATCCTCGAGCATGTCGAACAAGGTGCGGTGCACCTCGCGTGTTTGAGTGGCGTAGTAGTTGGGCAGGCGGCGTTTGCGGAAGTATTCCTCGAGGTATCGCCTGTGGCGCTTGAATTTCTCGCCGTAGTCCATGATTGGGAGCGCCCAATCCTTTATGAACTGTTAACTCAAAGACTCCACGAGTGCGACTCCGACTTACCCATCCAATCCTACGAAAGAGAGAAGGGTAAGTATTTGCCCAGGGCTTGAGCGGCTACAGCGTACACGTCGTGTGTCATTGCAAAGTATGGTCTGTGTGAGTAGATAGAGCTCTTCTTGTCGAGCAAGTCGTGAGCAGCTTTCGCAGAATTGAGAACGACGATGGATCTCCCTGGCATGTGGAAGTACAACATGTTGCCTTCGAAAGTAAAACACATCAAGTCCCTCCCGAATGTCGTGGCAGAACTTGTCTCACCGTATTTCTTCCCCATCTCGTTGAAGCCTATCCAAGCCGCCTGCTGTGGGATATGGTGTACATTCCCGAGGATAGGTAGCGAGGGCGGCCCCGGGGGTGTCGGGAGATTATTCGTGTTCTTCCGCCGCCGGTAAAAGACGACGAGGACGGCGAGCGCGACGAGGACGGGGTACAACAGGGAAGTCATGGCGACGAGGAGGAGCAGGACGAGCAGGACACCGAGCAGCCAGACGCGTTCCAGCCATAATATGAGCTTCAACGGATACGGCGCTGCCCCGCATCACAAAATGCGGCACCGCAGGCCAGCACAGCATACATACGGCCCGGGGACGGATCTCGATGTCTCAGGGTCCCCGGAGACCTCGGGTGTAGATCGAGAAAGCTGTGATTGGCTGCCATGGGAAGCGGGCGCTTCCTCAGGGACCATCACTGACTGATTCAATTGGGCGGCGATCTATCTCAGCGTTCACCGGTGGTTCACCAGTGCAAGCGCAGAGTCCAACCGCAACGGCCCAATGAAGTCGAATGTGAAGTCCCACCGGCAGGTGAGATACCGAATGGTCTATATTCAGGTCTCACTATGTTTTTCGATGGAGATTTACAAAAGAATGTTGGTAGTATTGCTGGGCCTCTCCGTGCGACATCAAGGCAGGAAAGACTCGACCCGATACTATTCAAACAACAGGTAATAAATAACTGGCTATACGGTCTAGGAGATACACACAAGCCCTGCTGTGGTCTACTATAGTTAACTTGATATGCAGTAAGGAGCGTAGTTGTAAGCGAGTACTCGCAGTCCATTCAAATATCTCATCTCGACAATAAATACCACTCAATCACACCCGCCACCTCATAACCCTTCTACCATAAACCCAAAGAAGCATGGGGAGAATAAATACGAGCCGCCACGAGTGCGGCAGGAAAAAGGAAGCGATGAAAATGAAGTGCCAGTAATAATTTGTGAATATCTGCAGCTCGGACACCTGGCGTTGCAGATCCGCGACGGAGACCGTGACGGAGGGCGCGGCTGTAAGTGGCGAGTGTGTGATGCCGTCGGGGAGGCGGAATGAGGGGAAGGCGTAGTATGGGTACTTCGGCACGGTGTTGACGCGGACGACGGGCCGCTGTGGCTTGAACTGTGCGACGGTGGGGAACTTGAGCTCGCCAAAGTTGCGGCCAGGCAGCTTGGGCAGCTCCAGGTCGGAAGCAAAGGTAGGGACCTCGGTCTTGGTTGGGACAGCGGCCGGTTCTACCTTGATCTCGACATCCGCGATCTTCTCCTCCTCCAGGACAATGTCTCCTGGTGCCAAGTCGAGATCTGTGACAGAGCTAGCGGGGGAGCTCGTGCCATCACTGTCAAGTGCAGTGGACGAACTTGCTGGCGAGGACGCAGCGGGGGAGGGAATGAGAACTTCTGGATGCTGAAGGTGCTCTGCGAAGAAACTCCGCCACTTCTGTGTGATCGGTACGAAATGACCTGATGTTCGGGGACATCAAATGAGATACGGATCAAACGATGAGGAGTGAACAGATCGTACCGCCGACATGGTACTCAACGACTTTGGCGGCTGACTTGTTGAGAAGCACCTGGGTATCCTCTTCACGAACAACGACGTCGTTCTTCCCGACCACATGGACGCTTGGGGTGTTGTACGACGTGCTGAAAATAATGTCGGACAGATCACAAGGTGGGATGAAGCCAGAAACGGCGACGCAGAAGCGGCTGTGGGTGACAGTGAGATGGTGGGGAGGAGGCAGGAATTTGAAAGGAGACGTACAAGCGTGGGTGAATAGGCTTGCCGTTGCTCATGAACTCGGGATGGAGGTAAGGTCTCTCGAGCTGCGCGGCATTGGATAAGCCTCTGTTGAATATTCCATTTCAGAAGAACAAACTCACAATCGCAGAGATCGTCGCGGCCATAGCGGCTCCTTGACTGTGAGCATGATAAGGGTCAGAAATATGAAAGCTACGAATCAAAGATGCGAACCTGAACCCAAAAACTCCCTATAAAGACTTGATAAGCATTTGTTCTGTTCAAGAAACACTATCACTCCTCACCTCGTACTCATCCTGGGCCAATATATCACGGATAGCCCGGATCCCCTTGGCAATGCCGTGGCACTTGGTCCGTGCCTCAGTCATGAACCACCACGCGCGCGGAGCGCTTGTTGACTCTTCACTGTAGGACACGTCGTTCACTCGCGCCTCGCCGACAGACGAACGCGCGGGAGGCAAGTCGGTCGGCCAGAGAATGTGGGGGGCGTTAACGTATACGAACTCGATATCCGAGCCGGAGCACGCCTTCACAATGTTCGCCGTCTACGAGAGCAATGTGAAGAGCATTAATTATTGTTAGACAACGCGGTAGAGCGAGATAATGGACACTGACTCGGTTGCGGAAGATGTCGGCGTTCTGTGCATGGCTGGAATTTTTGGAGCGGTCAGTAATTCAAGAGGCTGGTATGAACGACTGTGGGAACGCACCCGTGAAGCATCAAAACCTTTCGGCGAGCGACACCCATTGTGTTGTATGTGCTAGAGGGAAAATAGGAGGAGGTGTACCTGCGAAGAATATATAGGTCACTACGTATGACGAGCGGCGCAGGTCTCGGACCGATCAACTTACAAATACCACAGAAGCAAAAGAGGCAAAGTCAGAAATAGAAAGGGAAGGAAAGATCTATGTTCCTGTGCCTAAGCCGAAAGAGAGATTAAAGGATAGACGGTACACGGCGCGTCCTTGACGGACGAACGAGTTGAATCTAAGGGCGAGAGGAGGGAAGAAACTCGGACTCCAGTCCGCAACCTTGGGTATATGTAATCACTTCCTTAGCAAGTCTGTGCATTTTTGTTGCCTGATGGATGCGGAATAGATTGCTGAGCGTGTATAACGCAACACGGAGGCACTACCGCGGTTGCGCCTGTGCGGACAAGACGGCGCTCAGTCGTTCCTGTAAACAGTTCGGCGCACGACAAGCGTCGCCTACGGGCTTCGAAGACATAGCTCCGTACGAGTGAAGCGAAGTCTGGCAGCTTGCCGTCGACAGCGCACGCTGCGGCCGTATGTTTGTGTTGCTGCAACCTGGCGCTCATCGGAGTTCCCGGGGTCCTGCCTATTTTGCCACACTGCCACCCGCTACCGCTCGCGGTCAACAATCAACGGGGCAACGATCTGCGAGATCAAAGCTATCTCGATCCTTGCGAATCGGGCTGTGTCCTTCATTCTCGCCGACGCCGTTGCGGTTGTCCTCGACGGTCGACGGCGGCATGGAAATACGCCACAGCGCTGATACCCGCAGCCTAGGCTGATGTGCGGAATATACTCAAAAGCTTCGCATTGATTCAGCGTTCTCTGTCCTCTCGTCGTTCAAGATGGCTTTGAGTATCTATTCGGTCGTCTTTGCGGCATGCGTCGTCTTCGTCTTGAACGTCGTCATCAAGACGCAGCTTCAGCGCCGCAAGATGCCGCCGGGTCCCCCAGGCATTCCTCTCCTCGGGAACGCCCTTCAGCTCCCTTCTGCCTTCCCATGGCTGAAGTTTACTGAATGGAGCAAACAATACGGTACGAACGTTTGATTTCACAATTTCACGATGGGGTTTCGATACTCACTTACGTCGTTCCAAGGTCCGATCTACTCATTGAACTTGGCGGGTACGCCAGTCGTCATCTTGAACACATTCAAGACCGCCGCGGACTTGATGGGTATGTAGGATAACTCTCAAAATGATGAATTGGACTGACTGCCTACTCTCTCAGACCGCCGCTCCAACATCTACAGCGACAGACCACGGCTTATCATGGCCAGCGAGATTCTCACTGGCGGCATATTTATGATCTTCACGAAATACGGAGATGTGTAAGTAGACGCATGCCTACTGCTAACCCGAGCAGAAGCTCATGTATCCCGAAACTAGGTGGCGTAAGATGCGCCGGGCTTCGCATGAAGAGTTCAGCATCCGCGGATGTGAGAAGTTCCAGGGGCAGCAACACGAAGAAGCTGCTCTCAGTGTTTTGGACATTCTGGAAACACCTGATGAATGGCAAGACTGCCTGAAACGGTATTCATAGCGTCAACTTCACCCCTTCGCGTATCCTGATTATCTTCGTCTTCTCGTAGCTCTACGGCGTCGAACATTCTGACCGCTGTCTACGGAAGGGAGCGCCTCACACCCAAGGACAAGCCACTAATCACGCGTATCCACGCCCACACGGCACGCATCGCCGGTGCCGTCGTGCCCGGCGCGTACCTCGTCGAGATCTTCCCTTTCATGAAGCACTTCCCGACGTGGATGGCCAAGTGGAAGAAGGACGGCCTCGACTGGTACAAGCGCGAGACGGACATGTTCGAGAAACTGTGCGACGACATTGACACCCAGAAGGTGAGAGTCTTTTGAGAAAACGGAAAATGTACTGATTTCGAGGACTGTAGCATTCGTTCGTGCGTGGACTCAAGGAGAACCAGGCGAGACACGGTCTTACGAAGCCCGAGGCTGCATGGTTGGCCGGTATCATGTTGTAAGTCGTATGCGTCCTAAACATTCGCAGCATTTACATAGACATTTCTTTCTACAGCTCTGCAGGTGCCGAGACGGTACGATAACATCAGTGCCGCGCATGTACCCGACTGACCTCTATTATCCAGACGCTCGGTACACTCTTCAACTTCGTCCTCGCGATGACGCTTTACCCCAACGTGATGAAGCGCGCACAAGCCGAGATCGACTCGGTTGTCGGGCGCGACCGACTCCCCAACTTCGACGATAAGCCCCGACTCCCTTACATCCGCGCGATGGTGAAGGAGAGTCTCAGATGGAGACCAGTCGGTCCCGTGGCGGTCCCGAGACGGACAACAGAGGCACGCGTCTGTTCCTAAATGCATCTGACTGCATATCTAACAGCAACCGTAGGATGACTATTACAACGGCTACCTCATTCCGAAGGGAACCACGGTGATCCCGAACATTTGGCGCGTCTTCTTTCCTATGAGCGCTCCGTGGTGGGTTGCTGACGGTACTCTGCAGGGCTATGAACCATGACCCCGAGCTCTACCCCGACTTCGAAGAGTTCCGTCCTGACCGTTTCCTCGATGAGTCCGGGCAGAAAGACAATGTCCCACCCGACACCCACGAGATGGGGCACGGAACCTTCGGGTTTGGACGACGGTAGGGCACCCACATATGTGAATAGCCTGTTTCTATTCTGACTTGCGGTGTTGATGTAGAATCTGTGTGGGCTACAACTTCGCCAACCAGGTGTTGTTCATCCAGATGGCGATGATGCTCTGGGCGTTTAACTTTGAGGCGCCGCTCGACGACAGCGGGCAACCAATCGTGCCCGACCGGAGCGCCACCATTGACGCAGGTGTGGTAGTGTGCGTTCCCTCCCTTCCGTGCAGATGGTACCAAACTTGATACCGTGTCCCTTCAGGTTGCCTGCACCATTCAAAACGAAGATCACGCCCCGCTCGCCGGACGTGCCCAGTACCATCCGGCAGGAACTGGAGCACCTCGGTGCGCTATGATACGAACGATAACTTATGTCGCCTTCTCTGGAGCATGCTGTATTTTATTTATTCTATTCCTTCCTTTCAGGTTGGAAGGGTCTACTGTTGTTCACTGTGGGATGTGGTAATTGTACATGTATATTGCGAGCGTACAATAATAGATTTATACGCGTTACTTAGAGAGGACAGGATCATGATCATGAATGTGTGCAGTAGCCGGCGGGCGGATTTTTGTGGCGGACCCGGAAAATGCCGTTCCTCCTGTTCAGGCTGGGTCCCTTTAAGGTAGCTTTACTGCGCCCCCGTGCAAACATGTACAAAGATACCATATCGAGAAGAAAGTCATGTGACGCCGGCAAACGCGGACTTCCCTCCGGGCGCATGTCCGACTAGTTAGAGTAACCACTGGGGACCAAGAGGATAGGAACATAAAATTTTGTATTCAAATATGTAGACCTGTAATATATATAGGGGACAAAGATACTACAGAAAAGCAATATTGCATAAAGGTACGTGATAAACCCTAACCCTGCAAAGGAGAAAAAACTTGCATCACTAGGAATCGAACCTAACACCTCCGATATTTGCGGAGGTCATCATAACCGCTAGACTACAGCAGGACAAGAGTAGACGGAAATAAAGTAAATATATCAGCGCGGGCATAGCCAGCTTACGCAATGCGTTTACGTTCTCTATTTTTAGTGACATGGCCGGAGGGGTCGGAGGTCACATGATAAATTTCTCTAAAAGGTAATGTTTGGTCATGTTTGCACGGGGGCGCAATAGCAAAGACGGTCCCTTTATCGAACCCTCATCGTAACCGCTATCGGTCGTATACCTCCGTCAACGAGTCCATCTTCCGCTTTGCAAGACTAAGAAAAGGTGATTTCGACGGCGATCAGCATATCACTAAAGATCTCGCTTGGTGTTTCGAGTATTGCTCGCCGTCCCCAGTTGCTGTGATGCATATCATCCCATCGTCGCCGTCAAAGCCCAATACCTAGTTCGATTGCTTGTTTAATGGGTCTTTACTGCATTCAAACCCGAAGGAAGCCAAACACTTCGAACATAATATTATGAAGTGTCATGTCGCTCGCTTATCCGACACCCGATCCCCCACTGCTACCCCACGTCCTCATCTACTCTCCGTCTGATTCTCCTCGGCCCACTCCACGTGCTGTGGAATCTCAGTAGCTTTTCGATATTCGTGGTTTCACGAATGGTATCATGTATTGGTGTAGGCCTATCCGCAACGTTGAAACTATCTCATTAGATGGTACTGTATATGGATGTTGAAGCCCTTAGGTGACCATGTCTCATGTCAACTCCACGTTATCTACAAATCTCTTCAATTTCGGGATATCCGTCTCCCTGAACCCGGTCCCCTCGCAAACGGTAAGGTGTTTTGGTTTACGCGCCTGGTCGCGATGCTGAAACGATCTTATTAGATCATTTAGGAATGCCTTCCTACTCTTCTTCTTATGCGGCCGGAACCGGACGGACTCCAGGATGAGGTCCTCGAGCTGTGGAAAGACTGTGCGATATTCTTTCTCGTTACCCTTGCGGTAAGCCAATCCGGAAGGGATAGCTTCGCTGGCCCGACCCTGCACCCGAAGGTATCTGACCCTACCCATGGTCTCGAAGAGCTCGTAGCGAGAGATTTTGGCGCTTGGCAAATATCCGTCCCCGTCGCTCAGCTCTAGATTCTCGACAGTGTGCAAGTAAGGTCCGAGTTGCTCCTTTACTAGATCTAGCAATATCTTCTGCTTCCTGATATTCTTGAACATCAGGTGAACCCCAGTGTGTGGTGACTCTTCCTCCCCCAACGAGACAAAGAGCCGTCTGGATTCGGGTGCATCAATCCATGCGCTCTGAAGATCTTGGTTTGCAGCGATTTGCTGGATTGACGACATAGCATAACCCATGATGGCAGGAACGTCATCGTCGGGTGCCAGGATGCTGAGAGAGAGCTGCCGCAAGCTCGGCGCAGTGATGCAGGCAAGGAACTTCGCGTCCTCCGCCTCCTTCACCCGTACCGCTAGGGACTCTAGGTGAGTAAGCGTTACCGGATAAGGGTCCTGTACGTTGCCGCGCTTCATATCCGTTGCCACATTTAGCCGCCGCAAGTTGGGCATTTGTCCCAATCCACGTAAGAATGATCGAGTAGCAGTTTTCCCGGGTACGTCCTTCACTGAGCAGTCCTCGACTGCGCTGGTTAGAAGTGATTCGATTGACCGCCAGGTGAAGCCCTTCAGATGAAGCTTCCAGAGATGCGAGGACCGGAAAGGAACAAGGAGGAATTCCTCATTCTGGTGGGCCCCTAAGTTGTGGTGTCCGGTACGAGTTCTTTTCAGAGTCAGCTCTTCTAGCATTGGCATCGGACGGGTCCATTGGCGCAGCAGCTCTCTCGAAGTCGTAAGGTCGAGAGATAGTATGCGTGCTGCAGCATTGATCAGCTGCCCCAACCTCAACATGTCGTGCCCGCTGAATTCCGAGAACCTGATAAAGGTCCCGTCTACGAAGAGCGGAAGCTCCCCGCTCTTCTGTATAGCGGTGGCCATCATATGCGGGCTCGATATGGTCACGTACTTGCAGAAGATCTTGTCTTCAATGATTCTATAGAACCTTCCGCAGGTGAGCATGATCGCGGTGCGCTGTTGCAGGAAAGGCACGTCGCGCTGCCCGAATTCTTGCGATGTGGAGTTGGCGAAACAGTGGGAGAGGATCTCCCTCAATATTTCATCAGGGAGTATGTCGAGCATTGTGGACGGGTCGATATCTGCCTGCGCTACGTCGAAATCCGAGTACCCTGCTGATTGTAGTCTGGTCGATTCCATTCTTCAGTGGCACTCGGTCAATCATGTGGCGCAAGCAGGTATTACTGGGTGCTCACCGTTACGAGGTGATAGAGGCGGGCAGGATAGTTTGACGCGCTACCCAGACAATTGGGTATAACAGTTCGGCAGTCGCTTGAATAAGAGAAGTAAATTCGAAGATTGATCCTATTCCGAGTTATATATATAGGGAGTTCGTGAAAGCACGCTTTGTCCTATTTGCCCTTGTTTATTAGCTCTGATTCGCACGCCACATGCCAAGTGTACGCCCCCGACGGTACCATAACTCTCAAACCTACAGGGAGACTTTAGACAGAGTCAACGGGACTGCAGTGTACTACATGTTGCTTATGGCATATCTTTCTACAGTTCGTAGCACCGTAAGTATGCCTGGGCCATAGAGCTGTGGCGCCCAACTGTCTAACGCCAAATAGCACCAAACACCATCTGTTGAGTCTCACAACCACTGAGCGCCACATCCTGCTGGCTGCGCCACATTTCCATCCCACCTCGACAACGCTAGCAGCCTGGCGTAGAATCCCTTCTAAATCAACCAAGTAGTAGCCGAGAGAGCGAAGGTAAGTAATTGATTTGGCCAATATCGCTCTTGAATCGCTGACTGAATATTTGCCAGCTCGACTCTCGACTGAGCGGTATAACGTAAACGCACACTACTTTGAAGAGACGATTGCTCACCATGGACGAGCCTGAGCGCTTTATACTTCTCACAACTGACAAACTTACTCACCGAGTGCCTCTCGCCGACGAATCCGACAACACCGAAAACTGGCACAAATTCTTTCACATCATGGATCACACCTCCGACCTCACCTTCTTAAGCCTCCACCTCCCGGATAGCATGTGGCCAGACGTTTGCCGACAGCACGCCCAGTGGACGTTCCCGCGGCTGGAGCACCTCGAGGTGCACGGCGAAAATATGGTGGAAGCCTCTGTCCGCGACGATGACGACGGATACGATAACTCCACGCCATTCATCGCCCCCGGACTGAAGCACTTGCGCTCTGAGAATTTCAATATTTCTATTATAGACAACCTCCTGACGCCCAGGCTGGAGATCCTGGAAATTTCCTCCAATGCCGATTTCTACGTTGACACCGTCTTGTCGACGCTGAAGCGGATGCCGAATTTGAAAGAACTTCACCTGTGGCTCGACATACAGTTCAGGCCGGACGACAAAGACCCCACGGAGGTAGTACACTTTCACCAGCTGCAAACCCTCGACCTACACATCAACAACAGCGCAGAGGGGAAAGTATTCTCTCTGCTGTCCTACCCGCGGACCGCCTATACCACGGCGTACTTGCATCTCTGGGACCACGCTAACCTCGCAAAGACCATGCGCAGCGTCAGCACAAAAATTAACCAGATCGTTGATGGCGGAGACTTTCGCCATTGCACCGTCCACCACGAAGGCTCGCGAAAGACGCATGCCACTTTCTCTTCGCTCACTCAGCTCCATAATAGGCGGAGCGGCCAGGGCCCGGCAGAACCGAAGCTTGAGGTGCTTCTGGACGACTATCCCCCTGATACCGAAGCGCTGGTGCTCGCGAACATGATGGACAGCTTCTCCCTAGCCTTTGGCCTTGTCGAGCATCTCGAGCTCCGAGACCTGAAACCCTGCGACAAAGACGGCGGTAACGACTGGGCAGACGAGAGCACGAGCTTCCCCGAGGGTTTGTTCGTCACCGCAGGCGGCAACCCCGCCGATCCGTACCAGATACTCAAGCTGGGCCACGCGTTCCCCAGCCTGAAGGCGCTCCACCTCGATGGCATTCGTTTCCGCCGGAGATGGCCCGACGACTACGCAAACCACGCGAGCTTCTTGCACATCCTGCAGAAGGCCACAGTGCGCGCGCTGCACGAGCCCGACCCGCACTTGACGCACCTCACCATCACAAACGCAGTCAACCTTGTCGAGGTTGACGCAGCGAATAGTCTGAATAGGATGGCAGCAGGAATGATATGGGACGAGCAGGAGCGGTTCGAAAATTGCACGAGAGAGTATGTGGAAGAGGTGGTAGAGCAGCAGGGACGGATGAGCGAGGAAGAAGTGGACTGGATGAGATTGTGGCTGGAAAGCAGGCATTCCGAATCTCACTCTCAATTCGAATTCGATTCCGAATCCGAGTCCGAATCTGAATAGATATGAAGAAGCGTTTTAGTTGATTGGTATATGAGTGGTGTTTTTTATTCTATTTACCTGTGGGATTGGCTTATGTGAGACTTGTGTTATCTGTCCTCGGCAAGTCAGAGTGCAATTGGATTCAGTACCACATTCGAAGATTCTGTAGAACCCTCAGCACGGTCAATACGGGTAACTTTCCTTTGAGTAGATTCCATAAAATGGCCGCTTTATTCTTGTCCATTACATGCCTGAAGGCTCACTTGGAATCTAATTCCTCCTTCTTCGGTCTCGCCCCGAACACGCTCGACCCTACTCTCACCACCCCACTTCCCGCGCGAATCGCCGCCTCGAAATCCGCCGACATACCCATACTCAGCACCAGCCGTCCCTGCTCGTCCCCCCACTTCCCCTTTCCCCCCACTACCTCCCCCTTGACTAAACACACCTCCAGCGCATCCCGCGTCCGGACGAGCACGTCAAAGTCGCGGTTCTCCCCCGCCTCCTTCGCGTGCAGCGACTCAGTCAGGGAGCCGATGGTCATCAGCCCCAGGAGATGCAGCCGCGGGCACTCGTGGACGATGTGCTTCGCGAGGTCGAGTAGCTCGGAGGACTCGGACGTGGGCGGGAGGGACGGGGCCAGCCCGGATTTGTTGTCCTCGCCGGAGGTATTGACTTGGATGAAGACGTTCAGCGGGGTTGTGCGCGTTTCGGGGAGGTATTTATTTAGAGCCGTAGCGGTCTTTTGGGAGGTCAGGGTGTGGATGGCGTAGATATTTGGGATATCTGGTATAAGGTTGGCTTGATAATTCGAGGGGGAGGGAATGCGGGAGTACGTACTGGCAAGGGTCTTGGCTTTATTACTCTGTAAAGTCCCGATAAAATGCCAGCGTATATCTTGTGGCAGCTACGCAGCGTCCGCAATCACGATGGCAGAACGAGAAGCTCAAAAGTTAAATTCAGGTTCTTCTTGGAGTATGACCACGCGAAGACACCAAACATACCTGTCCTGCTTTATCGACTAACTCCTGTACATAATTCTCCCCAAAATCGCGCTGATCAACCTCGTAGCATCCCGAGATATCTGATGCCGGTTTGTACTTAGATACCGCCACGAGCACCGGCTCTTTCGTTGAACAAGCGAAGGGAGAGTTTGCGTACGCGGACTTGACTCGGTCACGGATCTCGGACAAATTGGCACGCAGCTCGACGGCACGCTCAGGGGTGGGGGCTGGAGTGGAGGTTGAAGAAGACATTCTGGAGGGCGAGACGCGAATGAAGGATATATATTTGTGGCAAATTCGCGAGTACTGTAGGTTTCGGATGGGCACAAGCATCAATTGCAGGAGGAAAGCCGGAAACCCTAACCTCGCAATCCCCGGGTTGTGGCGATGGACAAAGCCGGTTTGCACGTATTTTGTCACCTGTGGCGATTTCCCAACTCGCTACAGAAGTATGTTCGACTGTTGTTCTGGCTCACTAGCATCTTTAGTGTCGGCTTTCGATGTTTCTAAAACTGCGACATATTGGATCTACGACGGCGGCTTGACTTTGTCTCCCTTCTGCCAGTGTAGGACCTCCGTTCCGGAGAGCCGCCATTTGAAGTACAGATAGAACTCAGGAGCAACCACCGCTCATCCAGCCTAAAGGATTATCCCTTCTTTCGCAATTTCCCCGCATCACAAAAGAGGGGAAAGGCAGAGACGACAGGCGGGTGGTCAACGCGTCCCGGACGACTCCAAAGAGGGCTTCGGAAGGCATGCCGATGGCCTCCACGTTTGCCGGCAGCTGCTCAGATGACTTCCACCTGATACAACCACGACCATCGTTTTGCGATATGTCACAAACGATAAAGGCTGTCGACACTACTCATCGTAGTGTCGGGCTTACTCTTCCTGAACCCCCCCAGCACCCACAGACAAGCTTGACTTACTTTGGAACGTAGACCTACACTAGAGATACCACAGAGCCATGGAACCAAATCCAACCATCAAATCCTACGTTGGCCTCACCGGCACACCCCTCCTCTACGCAATCACCTGTGCTTGCTCTCTTGGTTTCCTGCTCTTCGGGTACGACAACGGCGTCTTCTCCGGCCTGACCACGGATCCGCTCTTCCTCTCCGAGTTCTCCTACCCCAACTCAACCCTCCTCGGCTTCATCGTCGCCGTCTACGAGCTCGGGTGCCTCCTGGGTGCGCTCGGCTGCGCGTGCTGGGGCGAGCACTTCGGGCGCAAGACCATCTGCGCGTGGGGGTCAGCCGTGCTCATCGCCGGCACGATCATCCAGACCGCGAGCTTCGGCCGCACGGAGCTCATCGTCGGGCGCATCGTGACTGGTGTCGGCATGGGTCTCATCACGAGCGTCGTGCCGATCTGGCAGAGCGAGACGACGCCGGCGAAGCTGCGCGGGCGGATGATCGCCGTTCAGCTGTCCATGCTCATTGTGGGGATCGTGGTTGCGTACTGGATTGACTACGGGATGTCGCTCAAGGAGAGTTCGATCCAGTGGCGCTTCCCGATCGCGTTCCAGGTCGTCTTCGCGTTCGCGCTTATCGCGTTCTGCATAGTACTCCCAGGTAAGCGCCTGTTTCTTTCATCTGTGTATCCCCAGGCTGAGATACCGTCACATGCAGAGTCACCCCGCTGGCTCGCCTCGCACGGACGGTCCAACGAGGCGCTCTCTGTCCTTTGCTCCCTCCGCAATGCACCGCCCTGCTCCCCGCTCGTCTCGACCGAGTTCAACGAGATCCAGTCCGCCATCGCGCTCGAGTCATCCGAGTCCGGCACGTGGAAGGACGTCTTCACCGACGGCGGCATCATGGGCTGGCAGCGCACGGCCATTGCGTGCGGCGTGCAGACGATGCAGGAGTTCACCGGCACGAACATCATCACGTACTACGCGCCGTACGTCATGCAGAACTCCGTCGGGCTCGACCGTCACCAGAGCCTGCTCCTCAGTGGCGGGCTGCAGTTATTCTTCCTAGTCATGTCATTCATACCGTGGGTGATCCTCGATAAGGTTGGACGGAGGAGGCTGTTCGTGTTTGGCAGCTGGGGGATGGGCAGCTGCATGCTCATTTCGGGGATCCTAATTAAGGTCGGCGGCAGGAGTAATGGGATTGGGGCCGTAGTTATGCTTTACTTGTTTCAAGGGTTCTTCACTATTGGGTGGATGTCAAACATGTGGTGCTATCCCTCGGAGTACGCCTTTTCACCTCGCCCTTCCTCAGTGCATTTCGTTAACCCACGAACAGGATACTCCCGCTGCGCAACCGGCAGCGCGGCGGTGCCCTCTCCGTCGTCTTCCAATGGCTGACGACATTCCTCGTCGTTGAGATTACGCCCCCCGCGCTCTCCAACATCGGCTGGCGTACATATATTATCTTCGCGGTGTTCAACTGGGTGAGCATCGCCATCGCTTGGTGGTGGTTCCCCGAGACCGCTGGGCGGACGCTGGAGAGTATCGACTTTATGTTTGCGGGCGCGAAGAGCCTCAGGGAAGTGGTGAAGCAGTCTGTGGTGAGGGCGGATAGCGGGCTGGAGGCGGGGGCCCCTCGGGCGTATGAGAAAGGCGAGGTGGAAGTGACAGAGAAGGCTGCTATTGAACAGCTGGAGTGAAGTGGGCTTGCGGTGTTGCTCTGTATATGTATCACATGGCGGTACTGGTGTATGTTATCGAATGTAGTGTATCTCTCATAATGGTACTGCTAGTATCTGCGACTGCTAAGCACATGTTGTATGTGCACCTCATAGCAGTTCATAGCGGTTCTTAATGGCTCGCACGAGAATAGCCCGGAGTATCTGTGGTTCTCCGAGTCGGACCAAGAACGTCGAAGTGAACACCACACTCCACTGAAAAGTAGGTTTGGTCGAAGAACGCTATAGCGACTCATGAACGAAGTGCTATACCAACGAGGTCGAAGCTAGTGTGTGGCAGCCAATCCAGTAACTGACCACATAACCTGTCTGCTATTAGAGATAACTATATACTGCAGAGGATGCTACTGTACAACAATGTGACAATGTTACGAGCTACGGACGTAGACGGTAGTTATATCGTATGATGGATGGATGATGCAAAAAGCAGGAGAAAATGCAATGAGGACTTGGGACATAATAGCACAGAGATAGACTAAAGAGACCCGCAAGACAAGAGAACTGATGGAAAGAGACCCAACACGAAAAAATCCACAATGCACACGAGCACGCACCACAACGAGGAACGATCACCACCCAGAATAGTGGTAGTCATCGGCCCAACTGCGATTCCTCGCCATGGCCTGCTTCCTCTTCTCCTCCCGCTCCTCCTCTTTCGTCTTCGGCCGCGAATCTCCACCCTGCTGCTCCTGCTGTCCGCTCCCACCCGCCTGCTGCCCGGTCGTACTCGTTAATGGCCTCAAGCCCCCGCCGAGCACACCACTCCGTCGACCGATCATGTTCACTTTGCTCACCTGCCGCTCCCACAACAAATTCCTTCGTAGACTCTCAGATAGCTCGGTAGCGAGCATCTGGCGACGAGTCGTACGAGGTGTCATCGGCGGTGCGGGGGCGGGGAGGTTGTACGGGTGGTTAAGAGGAATCGGCGCGGTAGCGACAGTCGAAAGCATCGGCCTATCAGGGCGGGACGGCTGGGGCTCGGTATGGTTGCGGTTAGTTAGAGGAGGAGGCTTTTCGGGGAGTTGACGGTTCGCGACGTTAGGAGGGACAGGCGGACGTTGCTGCTGCTGTTGCTGAAACTGCTGTTGTTGTCGTTGTTGCTGTTCCTGCTGCCCGGACGATGTTCGTCGATGCGGTCCTGCCAGCGCAGCGAGCTTCTGCTGCGCGAGGCTCTTAGACACTTGAATAGTGTTCTCGCCCTCCTCGTCCTCACTATCCGTCTCGTACTCGACATCCCCCGCTTTCGGCATCCCCTTCGGCTTGTAACCCGCCTTTGGATCCTGTTGACGAGCGTTGCTTGGTCCTGCGGTAGGCACAGTGACATTAGCCTGAACCTGCACCGGAACGGCTTCCGCAATGCTCGCAGTACTCTTGCTCGTCTGCAACTTCGGCGCGCCGACATGGTTGCCCATTGCCGTCATCCCGAAGCCGGACAACCCAAAGCCCCTAGCCTTCCCCGCAATGTCCTCGGAGCTGCGGCGGTACGGGTGCTCGGGCGGGAATATGGCAGGGTCAGGGTTCAGCAGCTGGCTCAGCAGCCCCGACTGCGTCCGCTGAAGGTTCGAATAGCTCCTCTTCGGCAGCTTCGCGAACATATCGCGCTGCCGCTGCGCCTCCATTGCTGCCTCCTGGATGCGGATCCGCTCGCTCGTGGCAGCAGAGATCGCAGCCGTGCGCCGGTTCTGGTCGGCGGCGAAGCGCTGGTGCTGGTGCGCGTGATGGTGGGCGTTTTGGTGGTGGACCGGCGCGCGCGTCGGTGGCTGGTCGGACACTTCCTCGGACTCCCAGCTATCGTCCTCGTCGCCCTCGGTGTCCGTGGTCTCGTAATCGGATGACTCGCTGATGAGGATACCGCGCCGGTGCGACGCGGGCTCGGGCTGCTGAGTTGACGTCGACGGTCCTTGGGCCGGATTCGAGGGAGGTCGTTGCGACGCAGTTTGGGGTGGCGGTTGAGCACGAGCCGACTGGGCCGGATGTGACTGAGATGACAGATGAGGTTGAGGGGCAGCCGCGGCACGAGACGTAGGGGCGGCGGTAGCATTCGACGTAGCGTTCGTAGCGGATATACGAGTCGAAGGTTCCTGCGCAGACGCCTCGAGGATCCGGGGACTCAGCGAACGCAGCGAAGAGCCTTCTTGTCGTCCGGCCACCGAGTCCGTCCCGTTCGAAGAGGAAGACCCGACCCTGAAAGTGGGCCGGCTCTTCGTCGGAGTATCCTTGACTGGCTCTTCAGCTTTGATTATACCCTTCACGGGTCCCTCGGCCTTCGCCTTGCCCTTGGAAGCTTCGTCCGCCGTTTTGCTGCACTTCGCATCGTCGACAGGTCGCATCTCCACCTTGCTCTTCCCCTTGTCCTTTGCCGCATCCTCAGACCGCGGCGACTTCGCCCGCTCCTCCTTCGCAGAAGCTTTCCCTTTCTCCTCGATCTTCCCCGGTGCCTTCCCCTTCTCCTCTCCCTTCACCCCCGTTTTCCCCTTCCCCTCCTCCACCTTCGCCATGGTCAACCCCCGCACCTCCACCTTCTTCCCCCCCGCTCCCGCGCTCCGCGTCCTCTCCACAACAAGGGGCTTCCCACCCCCGCTCTTCGTCCGCACCATGCCCACCACATTTGCGGCGCTCGCGCTCCGCTTAATCGCGCCCGCAGTATGCATCCGGTGCACGACCGGCCGCTTCGCGGGCTCCTTCCCCTTCCTCGCCTTCCCCGTTGTACTCCCACCGCCAACCCGTCTCGAGGACGCCGCGGTGCTGTACTTGCTCCGGGTAGACACGGCCGAGGCGGCAGAGCTGTGCGAGGCAACGCTGCCTGGCTCGACAAGCGTCGCCGGCTCGCCGTCCACCTCTTCCTCAAGCTCTGCGTCGTCTTCATCAATAGGTGGAGCCTCCGTAGTCGGCGACGGGCGCTCGGGGCTCTCCTTCTCCGGCGACTCAGCCTGGTGGAGGAAGAACCTCCGTCGATCCGACGCCTTGAGCGTCTCGTCGTTCGCCTTCTTCACCGCGGCAGGAGCTGAGGGCTCCGGCTGGGCTACGGACGCCGAGGGGAACGCCGACGCGCCGCGCAACGCAGCGGGATTCACCGGCTTCGCGAGCGGGTGCGCCGGGGGCAGCAGCGTGGTGCTATTCGGAATCGCGAGGGGCGCCGCGTTCGGAGGCATCTGTGGGGTCGCTGGCGGCGTCGGGTGGGGCGTCGGGTTGACTATAACGACCCGCGGAAATAGGCCTGATGGCTGGGGCGTGGAGGCTGCAGTCGTGCTCGCAGACGGGGGCGAGACCTCGGACCGCGCAGGGGCCTGGATTAGCGGCACAGTACTAACGTTTAGGTTTGCAGCCCGCGGAGGTGTGGCAGTCGCACTGGACCTGGGTGTGCCGGAGGAGGAGGTAGCGGTCTTCGTAATCGGCGGCGGCTCTTCGCCGGAGGGTGTGCGTTGCGGGCAGTGGCCGTGAGGCACGACCAGTTTCTCCGGAAGCAAGTCGCAGATGATTTTGCCGACCGAGGAGCTGCGCCGCGCGCGCGCTGGAGGAATATCGGATACGCTCAGATGTGACGACGAGACCACGGACGACGGGTGGGGCGAGGGCGAGCGGTGGCGGCCAGTAGGAGAAGAGGGCGTCGGGGGCGCTATCGGGGTTAGTAGAGGCGACGAGCGCAGGCCTGCAAATGCGCGGGAGGTGGGAGTTAGTTTAGCCTAGTGCGATCGAGGAACTGAATAGTGCAGAATGCTTACCTGCGCGTGACGCATCCTTTTCGTCCTCGGTAAACGCGGTCAGGTGAGACGAGCTCCGGGAGACGAGCAGCGAGTCGGACGACGGCGTGGATGGGACGCTCGAGTGGGACGCCGCGAGCTCCGCGTACCACAGCCGCCACGAAATATTCTCGAGCCGCCGCCCGTCCTGCAGCGACTCCTTGCACTTTGTGAATACTGCCGCACAATGAAAATCAGTCGCCATCGCAGACGGACTGTGTACTTACGTGCCCAAAGCCCCGAGAGCGCCTCCTTCCCCTCGAGGTCCTTCAGGACGTCTGGCGCGAGCGCCAAAACCGGCGTCGGGAAGGACGCAAGCATTGCATATGATAGTAGTACACCAACAGATAGACCGACCTCAAGAGAAAAGAAAAACCGAGAGAAAAAGTCAAACGAGAGACAGCGATGGGTGATAAAACAGAGACTGGGGCGGTCGCGGGTCCGCGCTATTGAACACGAGACTCGGAACACGAGTCGCGAGCTCGAGGTCGCTGGTCGCCGTCAGAGTCGCGCAACGACGATCGTTCGCTGGCGGCCACGGCTCCTGGGCGTCTTCGACGGCGGCGACGACGGTGGCGGCTGCTGCGACGGCGTCTGGCCTGGCCTGGAGGCTTGACGGGTGGTTTTCAACAGACAGCGGTGGGCCTAAACATTCAGCGAGCGTTGCTCCTTCCGGCCGGCGGGCCGACCAACCAAAATCATCTGCCAGCTCGCGTGGCACTTATGTAAGCATGCATGTTGCCTTATTGGTTCGTCTGCTGGGCCCAGGCTCTGGCGGTCCAGCCAATCACTGCCAGGCGTGCACGGTAGGGCCGCAATATTCGATCTGCCTCCGCCGCACAAGACGACTGTAACCGTCGACGGTATCCTGCGCTGCGCCTCGTTGTTTCAGCACCGAGTCATGTGGCGCCGTTTGTTTTCGTCCCCCCCATTATTCGCAATCCCCACCCCGTAAGACGCAGTAAATACGATTCGAAACGAAAGGGATGGGCACCTGACCAGGCCTGCGTTGATATTATTCGCATGCCCCGTCTCTTGTGCGACGGTTCAACGCCACAACATCATCCGTACGACACACTCGCCTGCGGACGTCACCAATGTGCGAGAGAACACCTGGGAACACCCGGAATGGCTCCCCGTCGGAAGTATGCATCTCAGATCGTCGCAATGTCGTCGGGTGCAACGCCCTCCGAGCTGCGCGGCCTCGAGGCGGTTGGTAGCATAACTTGTGCATATTAACGTTAGTATGCAAGTATAAGGGACGCCGTCTATGACCATACCGTCTGTCCCTTTGTCAGGGCGGAGGTAGCTGTCACTCAAACATGAAACCCACCCTGCTCCATGGCCAATCGGCCATCTGTGTCAATACATCTTCAAGTCAATATCCATGGAGGACGCCCGTGCAAGCTCCGTCCGGGTCCTTGTGCTCTCCTCGAATTCCGAATTCACCGTGCGTTTGTACTCACCACCGGGCAGGGACCCAACCTACCGTACGGGGCCTCGACGGGTCCATTCCGCAACACGCATCTGGGCAATCTGCGCATGTCCCGCTACGTTTCCCCGGCTTCAGCCAGAGGTGTGTATTCCTGGAAAACCGGTGAGATCGGGCGCTGAGCAGTGATAGATGACCGCGACCAGAATAGCTTGCTAGAACAGACCCACCTGTGATATGTTCAGATTATCATGATTCATGATGTGTATTTCATGATTCGGGATTCATTACGCAGAGGGAGGGGGGACGAAGCCTGAAAGATCCGATCAAGAGGATCTTAATCATGCATCTTTGTTCACTCCGATTGGAGGGACGAAGGCTCGCTATTCGCATTCCGATCCCATCCAATGACATTCCATTCTGCCCTTGATTCATTCAGTGCAGTGAGCACATTGGGTCTGGGGAAATAAGTAGGCAGGCACGTACTCACCCCGCTCCTTCAGACGCCCATTGGTTGATTGACCCGACACGCAGACTTTGTATCGCCTCTCGGGGACGTCCCCCTTTGTATCGCCTCTCGGGGACGTCCCCCCCGCCAGGTCCTCCGTTAAGTCCTCGGTGTTCCCCGGTGCCCCAACTCGGCACCGAGCTCAACGGGCGGGCGTGGTTGTTCTCATTACATGTGTCCCTGGGCACGAGCCATGCGACCCTGATAGAGGAGAGTAAGAACAAGCACGAGTCCTGAGGCGACGAGAGAATGACTGCAAACGTACTGAGACCCGAGGGCCGGCCGCTGGATGGCGGTCGTGATGAGCGGCCCGTGATGACGCTGCCCGCCAACGTAGCGTCGCTGGCAGGGATTTAACTGCTATTAGAGCATCATGAATGCAGCGGCCGATATCGGGAGCGGCTTGCAGGTCTGTACAACGTTGTCCTGACGTTCAGAATTTTGCTCTGGATCGATAGGTAGAAGTACATCAAGCCGAGCAGGTCCGCCTACCGAGATCGTTGGCGTTGCTAGGAGAGTTGACCAAGTGCTCTCTACCTCAGACGTACATCGAGCAAAGTCAGGCAACACTAGCACTAATATTAATGGAATGCTCACCGGCAACAAAGAACGAGGAGACTTGCCATAGACGGCTACGGTGACCAAAAAGGGTTATAACCATGTCAAGAACCTGGCGGGGAGTTATTCACTGAGCTCTACTACGGTCTCAAGCAGCGAGAGGTAGGTAGATGTGCTAGGAGCATTAACTGGGCCCGGCGTCCTGTTATTTAGAGCTGGATTCTTCGATGCCTATGGGGGGCCCTGGGGCAAGCAAGCCACAAATCGTTCGGAAGATGCCATTACCACTCTGACAATGAACTCCACGCTCTCTCGAGTCCCCACTGCCATCACCCTTACACATTTGTCTGAGTTATTCTGCGGGCCTAAGCATTGCTTGCGCTGGTCTTATACTATCCGTTTGCGCTACGGAAAGCTGGGCTTACCTTCATCAACTGCTGAGTTGAATCTGGATCGCGTCGTGCTGCTCGCTGTTTCGAATACATCGGAGCTAGCTGCCGTTAACAATACAAGTTTGTGCTTGCCTGCAGCGTCTGTGATCTGCTCCGATGGCCAGTGAAATTTTGAAACCTGGCGAGACCTTGGACTCTGGAGAACGTTTTCGAGGTGTCACGACGAGTGCAGATGGGCCACCCAGCCTATGGTCCATCGTCTCTGGGGTGCTTTCGATCGATGCATTTCTCGGGAGTTGAGAAGCATGCGGACAGATTTCAAGGTCATTTTCCAAGTGTTACTGACAAGGGATGAGCCAGTCCGACACAAGCCATCCTTCGGAGCTAGCGCCATCCGCTGGTGCCGATCGGCTTATGTGCGACTCTTTGTGCGCAGGGTGCTCTGACTCTAGCCATGGCTCTCACTTCGCAATTCCTCTGTGCCAACCGCCGCCGCCTCCAGAGTCAGCCTCTCAAAGTCATCGTCTCCTCTCGGGTCTACGTTGTTCATTGGGTAACGATCCATGTAGTTCTTCGCGATGTAGTGCTAGCGTCTGTTGATCTGGCCGTCCCAAACGACTGCGGTGAATGCTGTCTCTGCACACAGGACATCTTCGAAAGACTGGGTTCACTCGAAATAGTACGCCTTGGAGTATCTAGCTGCGAAGGTTCGCGCTGAACCTGCTGATCAGACCGATCGTTGCCTCCTTCTGAACGTACAGAAGAAACCGCCATAATCCATCTCGGCGCCTCTAGCCTTGGAAGGCCGCGTGCCAGGTGCTGTCCCGCTGCTTTATGAAGGATGGACCTCTTCGGTGAAGCCAACGTGTACCTACCCGATATACAAAAGTTGGGAGGTTGATTCCCTCGGTACAGTTCCGTGAATGTCGGCATCATCAGCATGTGGAAGCCCTCGAGCTCAAGCTCCCCAGTCGAAGCCGTTGTCAGATGCATAAACGGGCTGCCCGCACGGTCCACCGCCCTCCGTCCTAGGTATCGATGGTTTCTCGGCGACGTATTGTGGCTCCCTGGTTTTGTTGGAGAATCATCCGAACACCGCGGAAGGTACCATGATACAGAGTCAGCATAACGGCGACGTTCTTTTCATCACGAGGCCCAACTTCTCGCTATCGCTTGTCGTCGCTCCTCTTCAAGCTTCAACTGTCATATCCCCTTCAACGCGCACTTTTCGGTCTAGCGGACCACAATACAGCTGATGGACACTTTCGGATTTGCAGGCGAGACTACTGGGCGGCACCCCGCAATATGACACAGCGGAAGGCCCCGTTGAACTGACTCAGAGTGAAGGGCATGTGGCTTTCTTCGTTTTCTGCCATAATTGTCGGCTACGACCCCCCAGTAGTCCTGATTCTCGAGGTGACCTCGCTCTCGATGCCTGGGAGATATCCCTCTACCACGGCCGTAGCCAGTGCACGTCTCCGCATTGTTTCCCAGAGCGCCGTCACGGCACTTTCGTCGCTCAATGCGGCTCATAGCTAGCTGAGTCTCACCAATTAACGAAGCAATACCGTCCCGCCCTTAATACTATAGCCATCTCCCTATCGTGCGCCCGTCGTCAGCAGCATGCAACTTGGAGCAACATAGTGGGACGTCCTGGCCGAGTTCTTGTCTCTGCAATCTCTCCGTGTCGTTTGTCCCTCCTTGCCAAAAGCCGCTCAGCTCAGCTCAACCATCGCGGAGAAGAGAGGCGAAGGCTTGCTTGTCTACGCGTCAGAAAGCATCGTTATCGGACCCACCGCATGCGGACTATCTTCTAGGCCTCAAGGCACTCGTCCTTCATTTGTTATATATTGTCTAGAAGGAATCTTGGGACAACACGCTGTCAGATGTCATTGAAGAACCTGTCATATATAATCTCTCATTCCCTGTTTCATCGTTCTTAGTCCGACCTTGTCGTGCCAATACTGTCCCTCGAGTCTCTTCTCCCCTCTCGCCCTCCCTGTATGGTTCTCAGACTGCCGCGCTACTGCTGTTGCCTCCCGCGCTCTCAACGCCGTCCCAGTTGATCTTCTCAGCGAAATTTTGCAACTTCGACAAGTCGCCCTCCTTGGACCTGATGGCGTTGGTTACGGTCAGTTGTTTGAGCGGTTGCGCCTTGCGATGCTTAAACGACTTGATCAGATCTTTGATGAATCCTTTCTTTGCGTTGGTCTGCCAGAACCGGACGGAGTCCAGCTCAAGCGTCTCCAAGTGGGGGAACACTGCTCGATATTCCTTTTCTTTCTCTCTCCGGTAATCCAGGCCTGAGTTGATCGCGTTGCTGCCCCAACCTTCGATCCGAAGATGGCGCACGTTACACATGGCCTCGAAGAGTTCGTACCGCCTGGTCGCAGCACCGTCGACATATCTCTTCCCATTGGGTAAAATGAGGTTGCAAACCGCACCGAGGTATTGTCCTAGAAAGAATGAATGGAGACAGCTGATAAGACTCTTCAGGTGCTCGACTTTCTTGAATGCGAGATGTATCCCTCGCCTCGGGGCCCCTTCTGCCATCAGCGACATATATAACTGTCTAGCACCGGGTGAATGGAACATCGCTGTATCAAGTTGCTGGTTTGCTGCGACACGGTCTAGTAACCTGCGGGCTATCATCATGCCGACGAACGTCATTGCGTATTCTGCGAAGATGTTGAGTCGTATTTCCAGCAGACGTGGCGCATCAAGGTATCTGAGGAACTCGGCTTCCTCAAATCCGCCCATCTTCAGAGTCAAAGACTCGAGGTGCGGGTATTCCACCACGGTATGTGTGCCAGCGCCTTCCGCCATGTCGAATGCGACGGTTAGCTTCCGCAGGTTGGGCATCGCTCGAAGGTCCGTCAAGAGCCGCCAGGCGGTGATATCGCCCCGCGGTTCTGATATCTCGAGCTCTTGAATTGTGTCAGTGAACATGGGCTTAATGTCCTTGTAAGCAAGGCCTTCAAAGCACAGTATCTTGAGGTGCGGGCTTCGAAAGTACTTCAGCAAATCGAACTCTTGGTCGTCATCAGCGTCAGGTCCTGAGGTGTCCTCTAGTGCCAGCACCTCGAGGTTCGGCAACTCCACTTTCCACAGGCTCAGCAGCTCTCGAGAGGTGACCAAGTTGAGCGAGCGGATACGCTCAGCCTCGTCCGCGATGAGCAGCAGCTGGGCTTGCTCCTCCCTAGTGTCTTGCCGATCCAAGTATCCATCGACGGAGAGGGGACGTGTCCCACTACGCGTCATTGCTGCTTTCATGACGCCTGGGCTGGTGATCGTAACGCCTTGCCAGAATGCGCCGTCGCCGTAGACGACGTCCCTGAAGCGCGTACAGACTAGCATTATCCCAGCTCGGAGGTGCATGTATCGCTTATCACAGCCGAGAGGGATTGGCGTGTGGCTGGACAGGTATTGGAGAAGAATCTCGGTGACGAGCTCGTCGGGAAGTCGGTCGAATACACTAGGAATAGTCATACTGAAGACTGTATTGTGTGAGGAGGAAGTCGATGGATGGTGGTTAGCTGCAAGCTTCAATCGGTCGTTCTCAGGAATGTGGCTCGCACAGGTGGAAGGGATCACTAACAACTGTGGGCTCCGGTGGTAAGACTCGAAATTGGCGTCTTGACTATTCTATAGCACTCTTGAGGCTTTCTTATCAGAGATGATGATACGGTGAAAGTCGGGTGATATTGTCGTTTACGATCTTTGGTCGCAAAGAATCAGGAGTGTGGTTCAGGAAGAATTCTCGGTGGGATGGCTTACAGTTCTTGGCTATGGTGGTATGGCCTGACCGGTAAAGCTATCTCTGTTGTTGTGCAATCGTCGGAGTGAAGCAACGGTCTATGCCAGAGAGATGGTGTAGAAGATGTTCGAGGCGGTTGCGTTCCACGCATTGTGGCGGCTTAAGAACCTGCCTCGCCAAACACAGCCAAATTCAGGTGTGGCCATCTGCTGCTTTCGTGTTGGGATTTATGCAAAGTTCATGCACGTTCATGGCTCATGTCACATCCTCATCAGAGATCATTCACGTTTCTTCAACACCAGCGGTTACTCCTGCGGCAGCAACTGCCTTCATCTCTCGTGAGATATCCTCCGTGCCAGCACCAATTTGAGCGCCATGCCTCTGACGTTTGGCAGCATGGGGCATCGTCTCCGTTATAGCACGCCATTCCAATGGCTCAAATCTACAAGATAGTCATTGCTACAATTCACGAGTTTCTCCAGAACATGTACGATGAAATCTTAGTTCACCCATCCACTCATCGATAGCGGGTACAAAAACAGACCTTTCAAGCGATAGTTCTTCCGGGAAGAATCAAATAATTCTTTATTAACTATGAGATGTTGTCTCAAGTGACCACTTGGTACGTGAGCCTCTCTAAAGCCAAGAATTATAGCGGATGGACCGTGGTAACACCGACATTGCGCGTGCCACTCAGCCCTATACCTGCGCGCAACACTGCTCAATGTATCAGAGTTATTCATGGTGCCTAACAGGTGGTAAGGGTCTGATATCCCAGACGTTGCAGGTCACTGTATTATTCACTGCCCTTGATAGACAGTGTCGTACGGCATGATTCATCCGGGGCTGTCACTTTGGGTAGCTGTGATTCACGGGTGAGTGCAGTCCGGAATCTATATTCAAGCTTCTTCTTCTCAGTTAAACGTCGTACGTGTACTAGTATACTGTAGCGCGTCGGTGGCTTCGGGATCTCCGAGACCAAATACAGCCAAAGCTACCATTGCCACACACGCGCCCGGATGATGCCGTTCCGCGGCGGAAGAAAGGGAGGAGACGCTCTCCCAGTATCTCCTCCATCTCTCCCATCGTGTTAACCGTCTCCCTTAAGTCCTGGGCTTATCAAGTCTTCCGAAGACCTTGAAGAGGAGTCTTTCATGCTCTCCGTCTGTTAGGTAGTCTCTGATCGACCTGCTTGCCTGCTTTATCTCGTCCTTCGTTGTGCGGTATTCGCTGTCTCGACTGTTGCTACAACCAAACCAGCTCTCCCGGTCGAATACTGCTCCTGGAGGAATGGATGCGTCCGTGGCGACTGGAATCCCCCTTGGAGACACAGCGACGAAATACAACTGGGTGCAGAACCTATGGAAATCCGTACGCTATAGTTCGTCAAATCGCCGCCTACGACCTCTAGTCTAGAAGGAAAACAAGTCGTGAAGAAGTGCCCTCTCCCGTACGACATATCCAGGCTGTTAGTTCTTGCTGACCGACCTTGATTGTGGCGTATCGAGACATACTACGAAGGTATGACGCTTGCAGCGCTAGGGGGCTGTTCCTTCACCTTGGTGTAGCTTGCGTAGAGGGTGTATTGGGAAATGGATACAGTTGTGAAAGAATGTGATGAACGATATTCCCTATTTATTCGAAGCTGCATGAACGAGAATTTCGCATGGTGCAGACTTGGTGTCGCGAGCAGGGAATGAAATAGGGCAACAATTTTCGCCAACTTCTTTCATCATGGACTCAAATAATGCTTGTGTGGACCTATGAGTATGTTGTCAATGATCAAGAGCTAGCGTCCTCACTGAAGCTGCTGCAATCCTAAAGGATTCAAGTCTCGCAAACATATTCTTTCACTCACAATACTAACCCTGCTCCAATCCCTGAGTGGCCCTCACTTCTTCGCAAAGGATTAGTCGACTTAGGTAAGATTTCCACTTCGTACATCCCCGATATTATACTAATCTGCGCCTCAGGATTCGCCGTCAATGACGACAATCTGCACATACATCCAATTCTTTATTCCCTTCCTCTCTCCGCCCCTGCCTTGTAATAGGTCGACTCAATATCCTCCGCCCACCTGGGTACTCAAGCTGTCCCGGAACATCACTTGTCCCGAGTGACCTCTTTTATCAAGGCCTTCAAGTCAGCAATATCACTGTCATAAATCTTGCGAACCTTGCGAAGGGTAAGGATGTTAATGCGTTGCGCGTCATCGCGACACTTTAACGATCTTAACAGATCGTTGATGAATCCTCTCCCGGTTTTCGAGCGGCCCCTCTTCTTCGGTGGACGGCACCAGACGGACTCCAGGGTTAGTGATTCAAGGCGAGGGAAAAGCGGACGGTAGGCTTCCTCGTCCTTATCACGGTATACAAGGCCCAATGGCAGGGTTTTCGAGCCTTGCCCTTCCACACGCAGCGTACGGACCCTGGGCATATGTTTGAAAATCGCATACCACGCTCCCTCCGCACCGTCCGCGTATCCATCTCCCTTCCGGATGGACAGGTCCTCCACCAGCTGGAAGGAGGGAGCGACGTGTGTTGCTAGTAAGCGCAGCAGGGCTGCTTGGGCTCGGATCCCCTTGAATTTTAGATCGATCCCACGAAGTTGTCCCTCTCCGTTGCCCAGGGTAATGTATACATTGTGTCGTGTCCGCCCCAAGAGTTGGAACTCGGCGATCGGTAATGGTTCGTTCTCGGCTATCTGGTTCAGGTGAGGCGTCACGGATTCCAAGATAGAAGATACGTCTTCGTCCATCGCGCTGACTTCGAAGCTT